AACGGGGTCCCCTCTCCAGTTCACCCCCCCCCCACCCCCCTCCCCCATTCCTCTTCGTATCCAAAATTCTGGGTCCCTTTGACACCCGTAGGCCCCGGTGCAGTTGCACCGCCTGTACACCCGATACGCCGCTGGTGGACAGTCCATCATCCAGCAGTGGACTGACAAAAGGGCTGGTACAGTGAATATCGTCAGTGGTTGAAATTCCACATTCACGTGGCGGGGACGAGGCCTACCCAAAGGACATTTGCTCTTGGCTTCCCCATGAAGTGGTACCTGTTTTATCGACGCCCGAAGGAAAGTGATGATGGGCTGGGTCAACCACCCCCCAACCAGGATTCGAACTGGCACCCTCCCCCCGATTGCGAGCCGGCCCGCTGGTGCCGCTGGGCCGCCCCGGCCCCACCACGCTCGGCCGACTTCAAAACGCCCGCAGACGTCGATCGCGGCTCTCTGCAACGCTCGCGTTGAAACCGCCGTTAATGGAATTGAGTCGTCGCGCCCGATGGGGGTTCAATAAGAGACGCGATCGATGGGGAGGGGGGCAGGGATTTGGGGTTGGGCCTCCTCGGGGGCGTCGGGTCCCCCCTACGCCTCGGGGCGTTTAATTTGTGCGCCGGGCCCTGAAGGCGCGCGACGACGGACCCTCCTTACACGGCATCGGTGCGATGCCCGTGACGGCCTGACCTGGTGACCCCCGTGTGACCCCGCGACCAAAGAGTTGGGCCACGATGGAGCGGGGATGGAGGGGCGGTGACGTGGCCTCACCGTAGCGCGTTTTGCCGCTCGCCGTAATTTTTTTTGGTTTTTCCACATTTTTTGCTCGGTGTGCTCACGATCGAGTAATTTGCCAGTAATGTTTCAGCATTGCGACGTTTAGAAACACCGGTTACATTGCGAGTGGATTTTGTGGTAGAGGTTGCCCTGGTTATAACCGCAGGTTTAGTTACCGTAACATCCATGGTCGATCCACTGCTGGATGAAGGCCTCCCCAAGCTGCCGCCGTCTCTCGCGAATCCTGTGACGTACCGATCCACCCAGCAAGGGCTGCATTCATCGCTCCACCTCCCATCGTTATTGGCACCACCATCGTCACCATCATTATAACAACAATCACCACCATCAATGTCCTTCGAGCTACATTATTTGACTAGACTACAGGAATTTATAATAATATTGAGGTGGGGGGGGGGGGGCACTGAGCCTTCAATGGCGGTGGGGTGGGGGGCTCGTGGAGGATCTCGGCCCCCTCCTGCACCCCGACGCCACGGGGCTCGGTGAAGATAGGTCGATTGTCGTCACTTTGGTGGCAGAACAAAGAGAATGTTTCAGAAGACGGGAAAGGGCAGTGGCGGGAGCCCCTTTGTTCCCTTGCGAGCGCTGCCGCTTCCAGAGACTCCGCTGCTCGTTGTGGGGGGGGGGGGGGGGGGGGTGCCATTGGCCAGGCCGCGGCGTCGGCGGCTCGCGAACGCAATGCCCGGCTCCACGATGCGCTCCGAGGTTTTGTTGCCGTTTGAAGCCTGCCACCGGTGCCCGACGTTTCACTCCCACGTGCTGGGAGCTGCTTCTGTCCAGAGTTCTCTCCGGCAGTGAATGATTGAGCAAGCGGGCGGGCGAGTAAATTGGCGAGTGGGCGAGCGAGCGCGTGGGTGAGCGAGCTCTGGAGTGCAATGCATGAACTGTGTGCAGCTCCAGGATCCATTCCTGAAGAAGGTCCCTGCACGCGGAGCAAAATGCCGGCCATTGTGCCAAACGATGCGCGGCATGGCCCAAAAGCGGCCGCTGAGCACAAGCCCGAAGGCCCAAAACACCAAGTGGCCAGTGACAAACGGCACTGTTGCCAATGTAATATACAAGCGTGTAACATGTTTCTTAAGTTGAACAAGGTTCTTTATAAGAGATTGGGGAGAGAGTCGATGATGCAAAGAGAATTCTAAAGTGCGGCAGTGCGAGGGAATAAACTAAAATTGAAGTGTTGTGGGTGAGTTGCTGGGTTAGTGGGTGGGTGGCTGGGTTGCTGGCTGAGTGGGTGGGTGGCTGGTCGAGTGGGTGGGTGGCTGGGTTGCTGGCCGAGTGGGTGGGTGGCTGGGTTGCTGGCCGAGTGGGTGGGTGGCTGGGTTGCTGGCCGAGTGGGTGGGTGGGTGGTTGGGTTGCTGGCCGAATGGGTGGGTGGGTGGGTGGCTGGGTTGCTGGCCGGGTGGGTGGGTGGCTGGGTTGCTGGCCGAGTGGGTGGGTGGGTGGGTGGCTGGGTTGCTGGCCGAGTGGGTGGGTGGGTGGGTGGCTGGGTTGCTGGCCGAGTGGGTGGGTGGGTGGGTGGCTGGGTTGCTGGCCGAGTGGGTGGGTGGGTGGCTGGGTTGCTGGCCGAGTGGGTGGGTGGGTGGGTGGCTGGGTTGCTGGCCGAGTGGGTGGGTGGGTGGGTGGCTGGGTTGCTGGCCGAGTGGGTGGGTGGGTGGCTGGGTTGCTGGCCGAGTGGGTGGGTGGGTGGCTGGCCGAGTGGGTGGCTGGGTGGCTGGGTTGCTGGCCGAGTGGGTGGCTGGGTTGCTGGCCGAGTGGGTGGGTGGGTGGGTGGCTGGGTTGCTGGCCGAGTGGGTGGGTGGGTGGGTGGCTGGGTTGCTGGCCGAGTGGGTGGGTGGGTGGCTGGGTTGCTGGCCGAGTGGGTGGGTGGGTGGGTGACTGGGTTGCTGGCCGAGTGGGTGGGTGGGTGACTGGGTTGCTGGCCGAGTGGGTGGGTGGGTGGGTGACTGGGTTGCTGGCCGAGTGGGTGGGTGACTGGGTTGCTGGCCGAGTTGGTGGGTGGGTGACTGGGTTGCTGGCCGAGTGGGTGGGTGGCTGGGTTGCTGGCCGAGTGGGTGGGTGGGTGGCTGGGTTGCTGGCCGAGTGGGTGGGTGGGTGGCTGGGTTGCTGGCCGAGTGGGTTGCTGGCCGGGTGGGTGGGTGGGTGGCTGGGTTGCTGGCCGAGTGGGTGGGTGGGTGAATGGCTGGGTTGCTGGCCGAGTGGGTGGGTGGGTGGCTGGGTTGCTGGCCGAGTGGCTGGGTTGCTGGCCGAGTGGCTGGGTTGCTGGCCGAGTGGCTGGGTTGCTGGCCGAGTGGCTGGGTTGCTGGCCGAGTGGCTGGGTTGCTGGCCGAGTGGCTGGGTTGCTGGCCGAGTGGCTGGGTTGCTGGCCGAGTGGCTGGGTTGCTGGCCGAGTGGCTGGGTTGCTGGCCGAGTGGCTGGGTTGCTGGCCGAGTGGCTGGGTTGCTGGCCGAGTGGCTGGGTTGCTGGCCGAGTGGCTGGGTTGCTGGCCGAGTGGCTGGGTTGCTGGCCGAGTGGCTGGGTGGGTGGCTGGGTTGCTGGCCGAGTGGGTGGGTGGGTGGCTGGGTTGCTGGCCGAATGGGTGGGTTGCTGGCCGAGTGGCTGGGTTGCTGGCCGAGTGGCTGGGTTGCTGGCCGAGTGGGTGGGTGGGTGGCTGGGTTGTTGGCCGAGTGGCTGGGTTGCTGGCCGAGTGGGTGGGTGGGTGGCTGGGTTGCTGGCCGAGTGGCTGGGTTGCTGGCCGAGTGGCTGGGTTGCTGGCCGAGTGGCTGGGTTGCTGGCCGAGTGGCTGGGTTGCTGGCCGAGTGGCTGGGTTGCTGGCCGAGTGGCTGGGTTGCTGGCCGAGTGGCTGGGTTGCTGGCCGAGTGGCTGGGTTGCTGGCCGAGTGGCTGGGTTGCTGGCCGAGTGGCTGGGTTGCTGGCCGAGTGGCTGGGTTGCTGGCCGAGTGGCTGGGTTGCTGGCCGAGTGGCTGGGTGGGTGGCCGAGTGGGTGGCCGAGTGGGTGGGTGGGTGGGTGGCCGAGTGGGTGGGTGGGTGGGTGGCCGAGTGGGTAGCCGAGTGGGTGGGTGGGTGGCTGGGTTGCTGGCCGAGTGGGTGGGTGGCTGGGTTGCTGGCCGGGTGGGTGGGTGGCCGAGTGGGTGGGTGGCTGGGTTGCTGGCCGAGTGGGTGGGTGGGTGGCTGGGTTGCTGGCCGAGTGGGTGGCTGGGTTGCTGGCCGAGTGGGTGGCTGGGTGGCTGGGTTGCTGGCCGAGTGGGTGGGTGGGTGGCTGGGTTGCTGGCCGAGTGGGTGGCTGGGTTGCTGGGTGGCTGGGTTGCTGGCCGAGTGGGTGGGTGGCTGGGTTGCTGGCCGAGTGGGTGGGTGGCTGGGTTGCTGGCCGAATGGGTGGGTGGCTGGGTTGCTGGCCGAGTAGGTGGGTGGGTGGCTGTTTTGCTGGCCGAGTAGGTGGGTGGGTGGCTGTTTTGCTGGCCGAGTGGGTGGGTGGGTGGCTGGGTTACTGGCTGGGTGGGTGGCTGGGTTACTGGCCGGGTGGGTGGGTGGGTTACTGGCCGGGTGGGTGGGTGGCTGGGTTACTGGGTGGGTGGGTGGCTGGGTTGCTGGGTGGGTGGGTGGCTGGGTTGCTGGGTGGGTGGGTGGCTGGGTTGCTGGGTGGGTGGGTGGGTGGCTGGGTTGCTGGCTGGGTGGGTGGGTGGCTTGGTTGCTGGGTGGGTGGGTGGCTTGGTTGCTGGGTGGGTGGGTGGCTTGGTTGCTGGGTGGGTGGGTGGCTTGGTTGCTGGCTGGGTGGGTGGCTTGGTTGCTGGCTGGGTGGGTGGGTGGCTTGGTTGCAGGCTGGGTGGGTGGGTGGCTGGGTTGCTGGCCGGGTGGGTGGGTATGACCTGCAAGGTGGTGGTGGTTGAACACAGTACTGCGGATGAGAGCGAGTCTTCAACGCGGGTGGATGGGGCAACGCTGTTCGCCCAATTGAGCGATGGCCTCCGATGCACTCCAGTTTGCGTGTGGTCTCGCGTCGTTGGGTTCGAGGAGGATAAGAGGAGGGCTTCTGCCATCTGACAGATGTTTACCACACTCGCACTACTTGAACATTTATCATTTTGTATCTGTTGCATAAATAAGTGATGGTGGTGGTGGTGCTGATGAAGCTGTTGCCGCTAATTGTGGTGGTAGTCGTGGTGATGACGGTGCTAGTGCTGATGGCGACGATGGCGATGTCTGCAGGTGACGATGGGAGACAGGGGAGCAGCAGAACGAGCCTGCAAGGACCCGAACCCGATCATCGACGGACGCAAGGCCAACGTCAACCTGGCGTACCTGGGGGCCAAGCCACGCGTGCTGCAGCCAGGTGAGGGCAACAAAGCAAAAGTTTAGGGCCCCAAGTAGCTCAGGAGGCTCCTCGGATTCATTAAAAATAATATATATGAGGCACCCCCCCCCCCCCCCCCCCCCCCCCCCCCCAAGGGCCGAATCTCTCACTCAATATTGCGGGCATAAGGCACTACCACGAGAGTACAAAGTATGCCAGTCCATAGTAAGCCTATGTTATGGGGCGAGGTGTATGTTGCTGGGCCTCCCCTCGGTCAACTCTGCCTCAAATGAGTACCTGCTGCGATGTGTAAATATCGCCACCTAGGGAGACAAAGGCGGCTGGGCGTGGTGCTGGCCACCCACCCTCCCTCGTGTGCTAACTAATAGATGCTTGCTAACAGCACTTGCCCAAAACTTTTGTTTTGACGATAATATGGGGAATTTTTGTCTTTTGTTCATGTGTGTGTTTGTGCGTGTGTGCGTTTGTGCATGTGTGTTTGCGTTTGTGCATGTGTGTTTGCGTTTGTGCATGTGTTTGTGCATGTGTGTTTGCGTTTGTGCATGTGTATTTGTGCATGTATGCGTGTGTCGGGAGGGGTAGTGTAACGGTTAGCGTGCTGCGCTATGAACCTGGCGACCCGGGTTCGATTCCTGCTCACAGCCAACACCCAGTGACGATTATCTGAACCGGTCCTGGGCCTCCCCTAGGCCGACTCAGCCTTAAACGAGTGCCCGGTGTGGTGTGTAAACATCGCCACTGGGGAGACAAAGGTGGTCGGGTGTGGACGTTTGTGCTGCTCCACGTAAATGCTGGCTACCCACCCCCTCGTGTACCGTTTCGGCCTTCATCGGTGCTCGCTAACAGCACTTGCCCCTACAGTCTGTTAAGGCTATACGGGGGATCTTTGTCTTTGTATGCGTGTGTAGATTTGCATGCGTATGTTCGTGTGTGTGTACCTGCAATGCATTTTGTGCATTCATGGGTGTATTTGTCTGCGCGTACGTGCGCATGTGTGAGCATGTGTGAGCATGCGTGAGCATGCGTGCGTTCGTTTTGTTGACGTGTTTTCGCGCGTGCATTTGTTGCTGTCCGCAGGGTTTGGCCTCGGGATGCAGCAGATCCACCCGGCTCTAATCCGACAGCAGTACGGGTGAGTCTGCGCCCCTCTTCCCGTCATCCTCGTTGCCCTGGTAACTATCGTCATAACCATCGCCGTCAAATTATCGTCGTCATCATCGTCGTCATCGTTAGTATGGTATTGTAAAGCTCTGCTGTGCCGGCCAAACTAAGCGGGAAATGTTTCTCAAGCACAAAGCGATCCACACGGGAATCAAACGGCGATCTCCACGGTCCAGCGGGGTCTCGGTGCCGCCCCGCTCCACCGTAACCCCTGACCCCTGATCTATGACCCCCCCCCCGCCTCATTGTAGCCGTGGAACAAATGTGATCGACATGCTGCTTCTCACACAGTCTCATTGAGCAGCACCGACTATATCGCCCTGATTGTTGATGGCGGTCGCCAATCCAAGCACCATCCTTTCAGTGCAGTATATTATATCTGCCCCTATATTTGTTACGTAGGCATTCTTCTGCGAGACCTTGCAAGACAAATAGCATTCGTCGTCCTGAGCCCATGAGAGATGCCCGTGGCTTTTGGCGTGGGAGTATGGAAAGTGTACGGTCCAGTCCAGTGATAGATTTTTCTTGCGAAACAACGCTAACAAGTGCGAGGTAACCTGGTACGGCCCAGGGCATGTGTTCTCCGGTTGTGTCAGTCCGCCACGTGCTTTGCCACCAGTGGCCTCCCACGCTCTCTCGCTAGGTCCAGTTGCGCGATGTTTTACCGTGCAGGATGTGTGGGAACGCCGGGTTGAGAGGGGGCTGCCTTGGCTGGGTCATGCAGCCCGCATACCCAGCCACCGCATGCCCAATCGGCTTTTGTTCAGTCGAATAGAGGGGCTAAATGGGCGCGGCACGGGCTAGAGAAGAGATGGAGTGACGTGGTACAGGAGGACGTGGAGCTGTTTGGACTTGCCGATGACTGGAACCAGCGGTGTCAAGATCGGCCTCTGTGGAGGAGGCTCGTGAAGGATGCTACTGGGCAGTTGGAGGCAGTCGCCCTCCAACAACAACGGAGGGTGGAGGAGCGACGCTCACAACAACGAGCGGAGCTCCGAGTGGCTAAAACGCAGCAGGTTGGCACAGTAGGGGGCACAGGTGGTGCATCGGCCACTCACCTGCGTCTGTCCCGTGACCTCCTGCTTGCGGGCATTAGACACTTCACGTGGCCTTAACGTGCACCTAGCCAAGCACCGTGGTGACGTCACCGTCACTTAGTGGCAAACAGCGGGTGTTGAGGAGGGGGACCGCTCGGCCTCGCTAGCCCTTGTCGCCGCCACCGGTCGGCCGAGCGCCAGGGGCCCCGCGCGTGCGAGGCCGTCGTGGTAACGCCCATGTCCGTCCCTCGGCGATCAGGCTGGCGACGCAATACGTCTACCCGCACGCCATGCTGCAGCCGGGCCTCCTGCTGGGGGCCCACACGCCTCCGGGCGCCGCCGCCGCCGCCGCCGCCGCCACCAGCGGCGCCAGCACGCCCTGCTACCTCGAGTACCCGGGCGGCGGCTTTGCGGCGCAGTACGGCGGAGCGTACGACTACTCCTACGCGTCGTCGGCGTTCCTCCCCGCCGGGTACGCGGGATACGTGCCGGCTCTGGGCGCCGGCGGCGTCATGCCCGCCGGCGCCTCTGCCTACCACCAGCAGTACGCCGTGCCGACCGCGATGCAGGATCGCGTCGTGCAGTGAGACGACGGGCGGGGGGGGGGGGCGGGGGGGGCGGGGGGGGCGGCCGGCCGGCGGCGATGGTGATCGTTCGACGGCGACGCGCGGGAAGGAAAAACGAAAAAAAAAACCGACAACAGAAATGAGGGAAGGTAACGATTGGTAAACAAGCAGAAAAGTTAACGGTGGAAAATTACGAAAAAAAAAATCGCAAGTGGAAGAATAATGAACACGAACGATGACACGCCCTGAGCTTGTACCGACTACTTTGCTGCGATGGGTCGGACACGTTCTGTCGCCCGGTCTCTATTTTTAACCTTCCCGAAGCGAGAAGATTGAATGTCGACGCACAGCAGCAGCAGCAGCGTAACAATGTTGAGCACTATATTAATGAATTCACACGTTATATCGTTATTGTTATATTTTTTACGTTCCGTTTGTCTTTACTTTTGACGACACTGCTCCGCCTCAGCGGCGCACGGCGCACTGTTCCACCGCAACCACCATCGCTGCGGCAAACGATGCCTCCGATGTGAACGGCGAAACGGAACCCTGGGGGGGGGGGGTGGGACACGGAACTACGGCGAAGCCGACCGGCCACGGGGGTCTCGACAGCAACCGGCCGCGTGCTCGGTACGCCGGCTCCTTCCTGGGTCTGTTCGGTGTTAAAAGGAAGCACACACCACTCTCACCAACCCCCCCTCCCCCACTCCAGCGCTGCCGAAGACAACGGTCCTCCTCCTGCAGCTCGACACGGAGGGGCGAGGTGGAGGAGAGGCGATTGCGTCTCCGTAGCCCGGTTCTGCAGTCCGCCTGGCTCCTGCTGTGTGCTGTCTGCTTGTGTCTCGTGCCGCCCAAAGCATCGCTGTATCCTGCGCGTGTGTCTCCTGCTGCCTGTCGTCTGACTGCAGCCTGCGAATGTCTCGTGCCGCCTGCAGTGGGCCTGTGTCTCCTGGTGCCTACAAGACTGGCTGTAGTCTGCCTGTGTCTCCTGATGGTTTGTGGCTAGGTGATGTGTCCGGCTGTGTGGCTTGTTCTGTAGTCTGGCTGGGTGACTTGCTTGTTGCAGTCCGCCTGTTTGGCTCGTTAGCTGTAAGACCGGCTGTGTGACTTTGCTGGCTTCAGTCCGGCTGTCTCTCATAACAGCTGTTGCTTCCTGCTTACCAACCATAGTCCGGTTGTAGTCCTCGGCATGCTGTTGATTTTGGCGAGTGCCTACTGTGAGGAGGACCAACCCAGATTCTTAGTGTCACCGTGGACAAACCGTCCCGGGACCTCAGATCCAGAGCAAAGATCTCGCCTGCTCACCCACTCGCTCACTCACTAGTATTGCCACTCAGGCACTAAAACAGCTCCTTCGCTCACCGCTCACTTGGCTGTTCAGTCAATTAACCCCTTGCCCGCTCGCTTGCCCGCTCACTCATTCACTTGCCCGTTCAGTCACTCAACCCCTTGCCCACTCGCTTGCCTACTAACTCGTTCAATTACTCGCTCACTCAACAGCACCCCCCCCCCCCACTCCATGAAGACAATCTATGCAACGTGAAATCAATCTTGCGTTCGCAGGCAAGGATGAGACGACGCATTAGAGCAGTTATTTTTTTTTAATGATCACACGAACGAGGCAGAGCACGGTCGAAATGGCCACCGTCGGTCTGTCCGACCTGGTTCCAGGGATCGACAGCAATGATAATGATGAGATGAATGATCGAACTAACAAACAAAAAACAAAGACCTGAGAATCCTGACGATTGAGCCTCCCAAAGATGCCGACTTTCCAAGTCTCCCTCTCCGTCGTTCGCCCAGCAGAGAGATGCTCCGACATTCGACCGTACGCCAACAGATTTGTGCGTCGAGCCAGCATCGAACATCGACTGTCCTGGTCTGCTGACGTCGAGTTGTGTATCTACAACGGCTCCGTAAGGGAGTCCCCCCGGGTATTGTCCTCGTGTTTATTTTGTTGTTGTTTTTTTTATTTATTTTCATAGCGTGAATCGGTGATGTCAAATGCTGGATAATTGTGGTGGGGGGTTGTTGGCAATGTGGAGTCGAAACACAACTGTGAGCAACTGGATTGTGGGTATTTTTCTGATGGGCGGTGTCGTCATTTGGCAAACGTTGGGGGAACCGCGTTGTAGGGCAGCGCAGTGGCAAGTAAAATCGGTTGTGAAAATGTAATTCTCGCAAGCGAGGAAATGTGTTTTTTTTGCCGGGCGCATCGTCGAGTATTTGTCTCTGCCTCCCAGAAGGCTCGCGTCTCAACAACACGCCAGCACCTTGAGCTCGCGCGCGGAACGCAACAGTCGCTCAGGGGGGGGGGGGGGGGGGGGGACTCATTGACGCGAATGAATGCAGGGTAACGACGCTCGGTGACGCGTCATGACGGTGCACGGGATGCTGCCACACTGGACGCCGGTTCGATTCCGCCTCCCTGCGTGGCAATGGGGGGAGGGGCGAGTTTCTTAACCCCCCCCACCATCTCCATCTCTGCCCACCCAGCGGTGTCGATGGGTTACCGCGATCTGCAGATCGTTTGTGGGGGGGTAAAGTGTGGCTGCTTTCACCTCCTTCCAAGCAAGCTGGCCCGCGTGGAAGAGTAGGCCAAAATAAGCCCCTAGAAAGGCCCCCTCTTAGCGGAGAGGCCCCTTCCGCCAGCAGTGGCGCGCGAGCGAGCAACTCCAGGGACGCGGCTGTCCCTGGTGGGAGTGTGCGCGCCGCCGTGCGTTTCCACGGTACGAATGTCATGACTACAAGCTACTGTTTAAACTGTTTACAAACTCCTCCGCCACTTCCCCCCCCCCCCGGAGGGGTTTCAAGAAGATCGTCCCCGAAGGGGGCTTCCGTGGCACGGTAGAACGTCGCGTATCCGACCCGTCACGCGTCTGCCGCGATCAATTAAGCGCTCGCAGCCAAGTGCTGCGTGACGGTCATCTTCCCCCGAGGTGGCCGCAGATCCGAGCCTTTCGCGCGCGGCGACGCTGATCTCGCGTACATTCACTGTTCAGTAATCTGCTTGTGTGTAGCGCCACTGTTGATGGCTGTGGGGTTATCCACTTATGCGACCATTTGACACGTACGCCTAATATGTCTTATCAGTCCTCCGGCGGATCGGATACACGACGTTGCGCTGTACATCTTTGGTCAAATTTTTTTTTTACAATTAGTTTTTACGATCGTCGTCATCGTTATCGTCTTTATTATTATTGAGAGTACTATTAGTAACATTATTGTAAGAAATCAAATGTTAAGATGCATCATGTGCAAATAGCAGAACGGATACATGTTTTTTTTTGTACAAGTCACGCGCATAGACTTAAACAAAAATGAAAATACTAAACATTTAATTCATGATAATACAAGTAATTTAGTTGCAACGCCGGGACACACACTCGCACACAAAGCGGAACGTCTGTGTGTTTCGTTGGCGTTACACTGAGCACAACATTTCACTTATGGTGGATATGCCAATAAATGCATCGTCCGTTCACCCTGAACGCTCCCTGCATCGTTCTTGACCGCGATTCATATCGGACGGGAGAGTCCGGAACACCCGCCGCTGTTCCGGGAACATTTTTTTCCACCCAGCCAACATCCATCTCGCTTTGTCTTGTCCTCGTAATACTGCGGTGGCGGCGGTGATGATGTGTTTATAGGGACACGGGCTCAGACTTTATACTTTCACCCGGCAAGCCACCCCCATTAAGCTGGGGGAGCTGCCCTTGCTGGGCGAATTGGGATTCATAGGTGAGCCGGGTAGCGGTGGAGGCTTGTGCTGCTGCTCGTGATGCTGGCTACCCACCCTCTGGTGTGCCTTGCCGACCTTAATAGGTGCTCGCTAACAGCACTTCCCCTAACAGTCTGTTACAGGCTATACGGGCGGAGGGAGGCAATCTTTGCATAACTTGTCTGCGTCGGGTGTAACAAGTGCAGGGTGCGTCTTACTTTCCGGAGCGTCTTTGTAATCGAGAGAATGCGGTCGCTGAGATTATCGGAGCGATGCACACGCGCGCACGCTCGCTGGAGGACTCTGCCTAATGCCACTCGCCCTTCGTTAATCTCTCTCCTTGATCGACAAAAAAACATTTCCACTGTAAACACGAGAAACGAGAGCGGCGAGCGGAGGGGAGAATCGCCTTCAAGTCCGGGGGTGGCGACGGGGAGGAGCGGCGGGATGCAGCAGCTGACACGAGCCAACCAGCCACCAGGACGAGCGTGAGGCCGACCTGCCACGACCAGCCAGTGGCGTCGCGTGGTTTGTACGGCTCCTGGTGGGAGAAATGAAATGGGGCCACCTGTCCAGTCCCCCCGCTCCCCAACCTGGTTCGTGTCCCGGCACCTGTGCCCCTCCAGCCCAACCCATGGACTCTCCGGTGCAGTCGCACCGCCGGCACACTCGATGGCCACCCCTAACACTGCCCTCCTCTCGCATCGGTCACCAATACTACCACGTCGAGCCCGAACCGTGACGCATGACCCACCGACTACTCGTATGATGTAGCCACCTCGCTGAGCTCAATTCTGACCTCGCCTCTGGTGCTGTGACGGCGCCCCCTCCATCCCACCTCTACCCCCAACAACCCCCTCGCTCGGTGGCGCTCGCTCTGCTCTTACGCTTTCTCCAGCGAGTGTCAAAACCTCCACGCAGGCATTCACGTGTGGCCGCTGACATTTACAAGGGGGATGGCTCCTGTTTATTTCCGACAGGTTGGTCCATAAAGGGTTCGAGAGACCCATGTACTTGCGTAGATTTACCTACGGGGTCTATAGAAAATCATAGACTTACAGAGATACCCATGTACTTTTACGGATTTTCAGAGACCCATATACTCGCACAGAGCCCGAGATCAGAAACATCTCTGTTACATATAAAACTCGTGTTTGACACTGAAACCCCGTTCATGGAAACCCACGGCTCATGTGGAACAAGCATTTACAATTTTACATGGACCGACAACAGATCATAATCCTGGCAGCTGCGATCCTTAAGTTCGATTCCCACCACACACTCGGATCGTCACGCATAATGCTGCCC